GATTGCAGGTCACTGAAGTGACTCTTTTTGTAGGCCATCTTTTAACAACGTAACACTGAATTGCTCATGTCACCATGTACGTTTTGTTCTTCTGTCTATCTCTTTAAACACCTATTGGTCTGCCACGCCTCCTACTTTGTCACCATATAAGGGACACTTTAAGTCTCCCTGACCTAAATAGCCTAACGCCGGATTTGTCATTTGTTACAAGTCTGAACAAGTGCCACTAATAATATTTGATGACAAGCAGTTTCCTCATTAAGGAGAAATTATTTTCATGAAAGTTCTCCCTTCGCTCATATTCATTGTTCCTGTAGGTCAAGCATGCTTTCAGCTCTACTTTGAAGTCAAACCAAGCCACTGTTTATTCTGCAGGGCATAAGGATAACATTTAGATAAGAGACTATTTGTTTGACACAAATCTCCAGTGGCTTACGCATTGCCAGGGTGGAGATGTGTTGAGCAATGATCTTAAAAAACATACATGATAACCACTGGTCAGCTTGCTTAACAGATTTGGTGAGGAAACCCAAGTCAGACTTGCTCCGAGTTGCTGGGGGTGAAACTATTATCTGGACTGGCTCTGTTATTACAGAAGGCCTGACATGTTTTTGTAGGCTTGTGCTGGCAGGGCGGCCTCCCATGCTAGAGTCTAGGTCAAATTGATCCCAAATCAAATTTTTCATGCACCAAAACTACTTGCAAAAGTAAGGCATACCTAAAAGGGATTGTTTAAATACATTTTTATATTTCTTATTCTTCATTCTGTAAAAGGACATTTCTCGCTTCAAGAGCTTAACAACCTTTTGTTTTCTTTCTAGTTATTAATTACATGGTTACTTGTATGGTTTAGCAACCCACATTCTTATCACAAAACTTTAAACCTCAATAAAATAAGCACCAACATTGAGTGTGGTTGTCATCATAGATGGCTTCTCTTGCATTTGAGGTAGGAAATGCTACTCGTAAAATGTGGTTAGAAAAACAATCTCACTAGAAAAATAATCCAAACAGATGTGCTTTTAATGTCTTATTTAAACCGTCTTGCATAACTTGTTGAACCTTCTATAGAAGCGAATGCCTTCGGTAGGCGTTTCCTCTGGCTCCCTATTTAACTAGCACGGTGAAAAAGATGAATTGTCGTCCAGTACGCCTAGAAAACTCTTTCAATTCATCAGTATGTTTTGCTTGAACATACCTCAAGACAGCACCATGACGTCAGGACTCCAGCCTCTTGATTTACTTGTTGCTTCACCCAACCTCTCCCAAGCTTCAGACTATAGATTACCTCCCTGAATTTTTCCTTTAAAATGCCATCAAAGAGCTTGGAAATTCAAGTCATTGATGTTTCCTCAATGACTGCAATGACCAGCTCTAAGGAAGCAAAGTATGCCCACAAACCATGATGCTGCCTCCACCATGCTTCACAGCTGCAAGCCTGAAATGCCTTGCAACACATTTTTTTGTGTGTTTATCGACTCTTCCGATGATCTATATTAATTTGCAAATTAGTTTTCACTTGCATCATGTTTGCTACATCCTGCATTTGTTTTGCAATTTATTTCTAAAAATAAATAAATAAATAAATAAATAAATAAAAGCATTTCGCAATTTTTTGTTGTTGTTTTTTTTGTGGAGGAAAGGGGGTGGGGGGCAAACTCATGTAGAAGTCTCAAAAACCCATGTATCAAATATGATACTCTTGGATTTAAATGGTTAAAGGAATGACAATAATGTTTGTGGTGTCTTTAAATTAACGTAATTATTTTCAACAATTTTCTTAGAGTAGACATGTGAAAAAGGCTTCTGCTTATTAGTGTTTTGTGTTTACTCCTGGGTTCTTTTTCACCTCTTTGTGTGCAATTTTGAGATCTTTTCAGGACTCCAAGAGAGCCTCCCTTTCAAGGCAACGTCTCATTATAGACTGATTTACACTTGGGCCTTATACACCGCTTCTTCTAACATCCAATAAAAAAATGACACCAGTCTTAAGCAGACTTTCAGTAACTGGTTCCAATCTCATTTCTTTAATTTACCCCCCCCCCCTTTCTTGGTACTTGGAAGAGAAATCATTAGTAAAGAGGTTTATACACTTTATGTACTTCCAGTAATCAACAGTATTACCTACTCTGTTCTTACATGCACAGCAAATCTTGAGATCCTGAGTCTTAATTTTATAGCTTAGCTGTATTTGAGGACAAAAATATCTGACTCAGTTCCAATATACATAAAAGGGAGTTATTCCTCCCTACAGTTGCAAAGTGCTTGCTCATAGGAGACTGTCTGACTATTAGGGTTCTCAAGCAAATACCTTACAAATTATATGGTGCTTTCAGATGTTAGTCAAACTTGTTCCCAGTGGGAGTTGGCCTCTGTCAAGATTGTTGTTTGTCACTCCTGTTCATAACTTATGAAGAGAATTTCATTGGCATAGTCAAGTGGAGAAGATGCTCCACTTTGGTGGCTCCTGGATCAACTCTCTGGTTTTTGTGCATGATGGTTGGCTCCTTCAGGCAGTGACCTCCAACGTGCACTGGGGCGGTCGTCGTCAATTCTAGCAGTTAATTTAATAGATGCAGGTTTTAGCTCCTTCTACTTACTTACTACTTTATATAATCAAACATCTCCCATTTCAAAAAAGTTAGCTTTTATGTGCAGTTTTGTTGCACTTCGGCAACATATATTTAACAATAAAGTTGCGCTGTCCTAAACATTTTATGCTTTTTTGGTTTTTTCTTCAACTTTTCCCCTCCATTCATCTCCATGTTACCCATTTCCCTCCTTATTTTAATGTTTAAACTCAAGTAAACTCAAGGTTTTGTTTTTGTTTTCTTTTAATGTGAAAGTAAAACTAAACTGCAAACAAAGCATTTTACTCATAAAATGTACCCAGTTTTGAATGTAAGATCATAAAACGTTGCTATTTTTTGGATCTCTTCTCCCTCCTTTTTTATTTTAAACTAAAGGAAACCATCTGAGTATAGCAGTAAAATGTTATTTGGTCAACTGAAAGTTTGTATCATCCTACTCCGAAATTTTACATGTAGCTGTCGAGTTTTATGTTGTCCATAAACCACACACACACACTCCCAAGTTTCTGATAACTTTTGCCTTTAGTTTAAAAAAAAAAAAAAAAAAACACAGGAGAT